CGCTTTGATTGGAAAACCCGAGGCTTCAGTATAACGCGATCAAATCGATTCGCTTGAAGTATCTGAAGAGTTTAGAGGCAATAACAATAATCGACGGGACCATGACTATCGTAATATTTGGTTGCTAAGATTGAAAATCTAAAATGTCTAAAGTGAATACAGTAAACTACCAGATAATGAGACTGCTGCGTAAATAAGCTATTCTTACGAAATGACCATTGCCGTGACGACGTTGTCGTAATTGTGATGACAACGGAAAAGAAAGAGGAAAAAGAAAGACAAAAGTCGTGATTAGGGACCGTTGAAAAAATTTGTCTCATTATCTGGTAGTTTACTGTATCTTGAAAATAGTAGTCTCTAATCTGTTAGTTAAGTTCATTAGAATTTTCATTCATCATTTCTGATTTCTATCATCCATAAGTAGGTAATAGGAGTTGCTGGTCTTACAATGTTCATTTCAGATAAAATATCGACCCTTATTCTGTTCTATCACATCTAAAAGTACTTTCCGAACAGTCATTATCTCGATTTGATTTGGCCCGTCTGATAATCACCAACTATGGATTCGATATTCTCCTCCATGTGACCTGTTCAGATTTAATGGATTCCGATCAGGGTAGAAAATTCTACAAGAAGCTAAAACTGTGGAATCAAGTATATTTTGCTTATGAGGTGACGATTTAGATGAATCAACGGAACGGGAATTTAATCATGCCATTGATATCGTTAGATTTATTCGAGCCGAGTTTCCAAACGATTTCTTCGTGGATTTTGTTGACTATACTGATGGCCATCTATTGGTATTATCTTCTAGTATCTTGCTGAAAATATTAAATACTTGCAAGTTGCAAGCAAAAGGACTCAATTTTTGTCCATTGTTCTTTAAAGTGTTACACAGTCCTATTTATTTGATCATGTTGGGCTCAATCATCTGGATAACTTTTAATGTTAAATCTTATTTTGTTAACATTTAAAATAAATTGTCAATATTGGACTTTCTTTTGCTCGTTAAATAGTTAGCAAATCGAATTTCGTCTCGTTTTAGTTACAATTTCTCTTACTCTTGGATTCGAAAACTAATGTATTTAGCTAATCATAATCAGTTAATTATTTTGAACTATAAATACATTAAATTAATGATTTCATCATATATCGTTCTCAGTTTAATAATGAATACATCAACACATTCAATACTACCCGCAAGCCTTATAGAAATTAATTCCTCAGAGTGATAAATACATGTGCATGTATGCACTGATAGGTTTTCCTGGTGATATTAAACTGAAGATTCCTGTAACAAGAAAACTATTTGAAACTTTAAAAGTTTCAGTAATGCACTCAACAACTTTTAAAGATATTTTATCCAATCAACTCAAAGCTAAAACTAAACCCATATTATCTAGTTTTATGAATCTATACTCAAGAAATCCGATATCATGATCGTTATTTAATATATCAATGCATATTAGTAAATAATATCAAGCTGATGAATTTCATAAAATCTTGGTAATGTCCATTTTCTCAAGGTTTGAGAAAAAAACTCAAGAAGTTTTTTTTGAAGAATTCATAAAATCATGAAAATGCGCATGTTAAATCAATTCATTGTTGGATGAGAATAACGAAAGATTTAAATATCCGAGTGGAGAAACCAAGTTGCTAGATAGTTCAGTGAATTGTGGATGTGCTAGTCATCATGCTTAAATTATTCGAAATTTTAGATATATCAGCACATTAAAGATTGCTGTATTATTTTACTATTAATTTACTATTGTTTCTAAATTTTGTCTTTGTTCTCAACTATTTAGTACAAACAACAAACTCTAACTATAAAGTCTAATCATTCTTAAAGTTATTATCTATTATAAAGTTATCACCCCGATTAAAGATGATATAAAGCTCATCATTTGGAGTGAAGTATCAATGGACATTTCATTCCAAGTTATATTGATTATGTATTTGATTCATTTCTGAATATTACGTTTATACATTTATCTATGATCTTCTCGGTAATCTTCTACATGTTCCATGTGTATACTCTTTTGATTTCTCAATCGAAAATCTAATTCTGACAGCTGTGTGTTATTCATATTTATTCACATAAATTCTCTTACGATTGAACTCACTGAGATTATGCCCATATTAAATGTCTTCATCATTATAGAAGATTTTAATGATTATTTAGCTTCCCGCAGTCCTATAAATCTGACTGCGAGGGCGGTTTTGCGAGAAAATCAAATCTACTGCTTTCTGCGTGCAATTATATCTTTTGGTTCAATAGTAAGAGGACTTGAAGGCATTTATTACGTAGTCAAAATCGTAAAAGGTGCTATTAGTGAAAAAGATAAATACTTTCTCTCTCATTCTCAAATCGTAGTAATTCTTGAGCTAGTTTCATTAATGTTCTCTATGTCATTTGCACTGATGCCATTCACTCGCAAAAAATATAATGAGTTTCTAAGATTACACAAAAAACTGGTAAGCTCTCACGAAGATATTGCTTATGGACACATCATTCGCCAGCGAAAGTTGGCATTCTATTGGATCGTATCAATAGAGGCTAGTTTTTTCGCAACCGTTATATATCGAATACATCAATCTAGTATAGAATCAGCTCTGTTCAGTTATGTTATTGATAACAAAGCTATAGCAACAATTATTTCAAGTATAACAATTTTGTTAGAAGCAATTTCTTTGAGTGATGCTGCGTATTTTATCATTGAGAACTGTGCTATCATTGAATCAATCTTCGTTGTGATACACCATCGTCTTGAGAACATTGGAATCGACAATTCTTTGCTTTCAGTTAATTATGAAGAGCAGGCTGAATCAATAAAATCAGTTCGCTCTACTCATGAACAATCAGCAGAGGCCATGAGGCTTATCGACAGTGTAGTTTATTCACTTTTATCGACTTGTTATGTATTAGCAGTAGTAGAAATCATAATAGTGCTTAAAGTTGTATTAAATTACAAATTTATGATTTCTTTCTCAGTTATTTCAGTCAGATATGGAGGTTTGGTCATGCTTATTGCTTATCATTTAGTTCGTGTTAATCGAACAGCTTCAGCGATCTTTGATAAGGTCTATCAAATTTCGTTTGATTCAAAAGCAATGGATTACTGTCATGAGGTTCGTACAGTTTTTAATATTAAGTTTATACGCAAATTCGATGTTAAATAACTACGTTTTTTCAAAAATTTAACTGACTTTACATTCTCTTATCATGTAGATAAACTTATTCTTCTCGAAATTAAATCGCCAAGACATTGGATTTTCTTTCGCAAACTCGTTTATTATAACACCTGGATTTATCACATCCACAGTAACAGTTGCTGTGTCGTTTGCATTGGCATTTGCACAAAGAATAGAACCTTAACAACTTCTATCGAAATCTATTATGAAGTATCTGGATGATGCGGAACGATCTTATTTATGTTTATTTTACGAATATCATCTCGATCAAATCCTGAGAAGAAAATCCATTAACCGATTTAATCTAATTCATCGCTTTGATTAATGTCCTGAAGGAACAATTTAATTCAAAATTGTATCCTAATCTTTTCATCGCAACAGATACTTTCAGATTGGTATTAGTTCTGTTCTCAACCCAGTTTCTGTGGCTGTATCAACCTCATTCATAAACATCGTCGGAAGATTTTGATTGTAAAAAGGATCATTTTCACTAAAAATTGGTCTCAATGTTCTCAGTGGTAAAGGGTTTCGTAATAATGTTTCGTCATTTTCTTTTCACAATCCTAATCTTTGTGGCAATTAATCTGAATAAATAACCTTGCTTACAAAGCTTGCAGAACCATGATCTCTTATTGTGTAGAAATCGTCAAGACATTGGATTTCTTGTGTTCGTGAAATTGTCACTACATTTCATCTCACTATTATTGACAATTTCTTTGATTGACTCTTGTATTCATTGAATGTATTTGGTTGATCATAATCAATGAAAATGGAGTATTGATTTTACCAATACATCTTAACTATTGTTGAATGTTTTTAGTTGTAATATCCACACATTTGGATTTGATTTGCTTCATAAATGTGTTGCTCTAATTAATTGTTTAATTTGTTGATCACAATTTGAAATATTTTCAATTTTCGATTCCAGTTGATTACAGATCGGAACTTGGATTGTTTTCATCATTCGGGTAAAAGATCGATAAGATGGAAAGGTAAATATTTCCGGTAAAATGGGAGCTTTTATATCAGCTGATCGACAGAGTCTAACCCATTGGGCAAAAACATCAACATTGAAAAAAAATTGGCTTATTATTAGATCAGCACCAGCGTCAACTTTGGCCTTTAAGTATTTAACATCTTCAGTAAGGGATGATACCGATGGATGACCATTTGGATAACCAGCGACCGCGACGACAAAATCGTTTGGAAACTCGGCTCGAATAAATCTAACGATATCAATGGCATGATTGAATTCCCGTTCCGTTGATTCATCTAAATCGTCACCTCGCAAAGCAAAAATATACTTGATTCCACAGTTTTTAGCTTCTTGTAGGAATTTTCTACCCTGATCGGAATCCATTAAATCTGAACAGGTCACATGGAGGAGAATATCGAATCCATAGTTGGTGATTATCAAACGGGCCAAATCAAATCGAGATAATGATTCAGTGTTCGATGTTCGGGAAGTACTTTTAGATGTGATGGCACAGAATAAGGGTCGATATTTTCTTAAATCACTGAGTAGATTTTACAAATCATTCAAGAGATTTAATCAAATTTAAAAGAAAAATTGTATTGATTTAGATGGAAAGTAATAGAAAAATGTAATCACAATTAGAAAAAAATTATCTCTCTATGCTTATAAGCAGAGTAATAGGAAGAGACTGCAGACTACAAAAAACACAGGTAAAGTTAATTAAATTAAAAATTATTAGGAGCGAAAAAAGTTAATCTTTCACATTTTATTACGATAAAATTAGTTCACACCGATGAACCAGGTGGAGCCCAAGTAAATAGCAAAAACTGCAGCAAGTCAATGAAGATTTAATTAATCAATTTTTCTAATTAATTATTATTCTAATGATTATTTTTATGATTTTTTTTGCGAAATAGATACTGAGCTTACTTCCTTACAATCATTTAGTCCAAAAATTCGTTTAGAATTCGTAACAAAATACCTAAATCGTTCGACTTATCTGGACTTAACATCGCTTTGGCCTGATAGTTGTAGATATTTCTAGTCTGTAAAAGTCTGATTTTTTGCAAGCGCTAAAAAGTTGTCCTTACACTCTTAATTTCATTCCTAAAAAGTCTACCAATACTGAGAAAAAGTGATCTAAAGTTTGGACTTTGAACGCAATTCACTCGAAAACTAACGATCAGATCACAATGGAATTTTTAACAAACGGGGTCGTTCTTATGTCCATACAAAACTACAAAGTTTCAATTCTTAACTCAAAAGTCCATTTTTTCAGCGTATTGACCATTCTTACTATTGACTTGTGCCTCCACCTGGTTCATCGGTGTGAACTAATTTTATCGTAATAAAATGTGAAAGATTAACTTTTTTCGCTCCTAATAATTTTTAATTTAATTAACTTTACCTGTGAATTTAAAATTAAATTTTATGTTATTATTGTTCATTTCATCACAAGGATCAAGTTGATAACAAAATTATGATAGTTCAACAGTTACTTTAGTTGTTTTTGTTACTCCCAAAACTGAGCTGTTATTGCGTCTTAATAACTTCAACCATTTTGTTTTTCTTGGTAAGTTTTGTTGATAATTTGATACAACTTTCTTTTCTCTATCTCAGACTTATTCTCTGAAAAGATTGAAACTCTAACTTTATTTTCTCCTTTTTTTCATGAAAAACCTAATGAGTTAAACTATCCTTGGACCTGATTTTCACCCAAAAAAGAAACCAAAAAACACCCAAGGCCTTAGATGTCTTTCAAATTTAAACTTTAATCAAATTTAAACTTTTCAAACTCAAATTTAAAAATAATAGAAGCAAAAATTGTACAAACTGAGCGTCTAGCTCAGTGCCCACAAGGGCCACCCTCTCGGGTGCTAAATGCCTAATGCATTACCTCCGACCTTAGGAGGACAATAAATCGTAAGAGGTATCAACTGCTCTCTCTCTCTCTCTCTCTTGCTATTACTCTTTGATTATAAGTCACAATTTTTGTTCTCATCTCATTTTTCGTGGCTGTATTTCACATCGTATTTTCGTTCAAACAATTGGGTTACGGATTCTCTTACACATTTGCAATTCTCAATAAACAAGCAGCTTTTATTCCATTAATCACTTATCACCTGATTCGAGTTAATCGATTGGCAATAGGAATTTTCAAAAGTGTCTATCAAAGCTCATTCAATTCGAAATCATTAGAATACACAGATGAGGTTTGTTGAACAACCAGAAAATACTAATATTCGTAACTTTTAGGATTTTACGTATTTTTTCAATAGGTAAAGTTATTTTTATTGCGGATAAAACAGCAAGATATCGGATTTTCTTTCGCTCGTCTATTTGTTATAACACCAAATTTCGTCACATCTTTAGCGACAATTTCTTCTACTCTTAGATTAGCTTCGGTTGCGTCATTCTACTAATAAACATTTTCAGGATCTAAAACTCATTGAATACAAAATTTGCAATTCACATTTGTGAATTGCATTGACAATACTGACATGTCAGCGATATAAGAACTTTGTTTATTCGTTATACTGGATCAGATAAATTTGCGATTGAATTTTCTGCACTGAAATATCTAAATTAAATCAGTAATTTGTTGATTGGATGTTTCATAGATACTTTTATTAACTGAAGCTGAAGTATTAGATTTGCATCGTTTTTCCCCGTTCCTTAATATAAGAAAGACATATGATGCTCGTTGAGAATCTCAACATCATTTGTACCAAAATGATCAACTTGTTCTAACATTTTTTGTTTTCCATTGAAAATTTTTTTATAATATATTGATGATAATCAAGTGAAGTGATTTGATATCCAATCAGTTGACCATTTTAAGACTACATTGGTTAAATGAGTGGACAAATTTCATTATCATATCTTTGGGTTAACTTTATCTCTCATTGATTATATTCTACTGCGTGAATAATTTAAAAACTGGTTGCAAACTCGAAATTTTTGGCTGTCAAAGATCTGAACTGTAACAATCAAAATATTAATCGTTGCTCAGCATCAAATAAAAGATCTTCGTTTTAATCAAGTCAATAATTTGGACTTTTTAAACATGTATAAAACATTATTAACATAATAACAGACTCTTAAAACTGACCAATAAAACCTTCGAACAATCAAATTATTTGATTGATGTAATATTATTACTTAACCGATAAACCTCAAAAATCAGTTATAAATGTTTACACATTAATCAATTTTTTCTATACCCATAAATGGTAGTAACTAACTCTACTTATCATGAGTTAATTGTTGAGGGTCAACACCACAATTGTCTTGGTGATCAACGGTATAATCTGAATTTAACCAATTGGAATTAAGTATTGTTATAATCATCGGAATAATGGTTCTATCGCTAATTGAAATTGTGAAAAAAAATTTTGACTCTTCTCAGCCCACGAATATTATCTCAAATTCAATTCTAGAAAAAGGATTAATCTACCGATTAGTTCATATAATTCTATCCTTTGGACTATTGGCTAGAGGAGCAATTGGAATTTACAATTGTCGTCTAATTATTTCTGTCAAGAGCTTAACTGATGCTAACATTTACCAGTCACTTTCATTCTCACTCTACATATTTGTTATCGCTCTTTCATGTTTATTTCTATTATTTACTCGAGCAAGTTATCAAAAGTTTCACAATTGTCAACAGGACTTGGTTATTGATCATAGAGAGATGGCAGATGAGTATATTCAAATAGAGAAACGAAAATCCTTTTGGTTGATTCCATTATATATTATCTATGACATTATATTGGACCTTGCCAACGAGCAATTCTTTAACTTTGACCTCATAGATGACCCGATTATGTCAAAAGCTTTTTACTTTCTGATTATGTTGACATCGAGACTTTGTTTCGTAAATTACGTTTATTTTATAGTAGAAAATTGTATCACCTTGGAATCTATTTTCAAGATAATTAAAGGGTGTAGCGCTTAACAAGTTAAAAAATGGGAGGTGCTTATGTAGCTTAACCTTAACTAAAAATGAAGATAAGGTTGACAAAAATGTAAAGATTAAGCTACATTAGAACCTCCCATTTTTTAACTTGTTAAGCGCTACACCCTTTAGTTATCGTCTTAATTCATTGGTTGAGGGAAAATTTACTTCGTTGGAAAATCCAAGGCTTCAGTACAAGGCAATTAAATCGATTCGTTTGACTTATCTAAAGTCAATAGAAGTGATAAATATAATCGACCTAACTATGACTATCGTTATTATGGGTTTCTACATATTCGCAGTATCCAATTGTTTACTCGTATTTCGAGTAATATTTTCTTATATACAAATGGGCCAAGGGCTAACATATATTCTCGCGATTTTCATTAAACATTTGGCTTTCATTTCCATGATTACCTATTATCTAATTCGCGTCAATCGATCGGCTGTTAGAATATTTAAAAGTATCTATCACCTTTCATTCGATTCAAAGTCGGTAGAATACACTCTTGAGGTTAGTTTAATATCATACACATTTCGAATTTAACTTGATCGACCTTTTCTTCATTAACAGATTCACACCTACTCCTCAATGAAACTATTATAATATTAACACTAATAGTTGTTACCTTTATCCCTTTTTCTCTTCTATCAGATAAATTTATTCTTACTGCGAATAAATCAGCAAGACATTGGATTCTCTTTCGCTCGTTTAATTGTTATAACACCGAATTTCGTCTCATCACTAGCAACAATTTCCCTTACTCTTGGATTAGCCTTGGCAACAGCATTCAACTGATCATCATATTCAAGATCGCGTACCTTAAATTCAATAGTAACTGTAGATTTACCCATGTTCAGCTCAATATGAAATCTCAGCTTTCCAATTAGAAATCTGAACTCTCAATGGCCAAGAGGATTTAAAATTTCAGGATTATATTGATAGCAATGCAGTTCCATGAATTTTTGACCAGAAAGGCTCATAAGTTATTAATACAACTTCTAAACCAATGTTGTTCATCAATATTTTAAGAGTCGAACAAAAGTTTATCACAATGTTGTATAAATAATTAGAAAAATAAAAGATAACAATTAATTGAATATCTTTTTTTTTTATTTCGATAAAAGTTCAGAATGATTGATTGCTAAATGCCTAAATGACCAAAGTAATAATTTTACTTTCAATTCATATTTAAATGATTGATTGTCTAAATAACCTTTAACTAAACCGTTATTCATTAATAAATTTGCGCATTTAGATATAATCATATCGAATTTATTTAGTTCGTATAATTAAGTCATGATGGTTCTATCGCTGATTCAAATTGTGAAAAATTATATCAAAGCTTCTGAGCCTACCAATTTAATCTCAAAGTCAATTCTGAGAAAAGGTCTAGTCTACCAATTACTTCATCTCGTTCTTTCATTCGGATTATTAATTAAAGGAACGATAGGAACTTACAAGAATATTAATTATTTAATCTTTGCAAAAAATATACCGAAATCGGCTCTTTATCAGTCACTCGCATATTCACTATATGTATTCGTTATTGGTCTATCGTGTGGACTTTTATTATTTACTCGAAAAAACTACCAAAAGTTTATCAATTGTCAACTGGATTTGGTTACTGATCACAAAGAGATGTCTGATGAGTACATTTATAAACAGAGACGAAGGTCACTTTTTGTTATTCTATTGTTTGTGATCAATGAATTTGCCATCGATATTACAGGAAAACCGACATATTTTAACTTTGGAATAACGAAAAGTAGCATTTTCTCAGTACAAGTTGGAAGAGTGACAATACTCATCTTATCGCGAACCGCTTTCATAAACTATCTATACTTTATTGTCGAAAACTGTATCATATTGGAATCAATTTTCGTTGTAATATCCTATCGCCTTAATTTACTGATTCAGAGAAAATGCATTTCATTGGAAAACCCGAGGCTTCAGTATAACGCGATCAAATCGATTCGTTTGAATTATCTGAAAGGTTTAGAGGCAATAACAATAATCGACGGGACCATGACTCTCGTAATATTTGGTTTCTACACATTCGCAGTTGCCAATTGTTTACTCGTTTTTAGTAATCTTTTCTCAATAGAGCACACGGTTTATGGACTGATTTATATTCTCGCCATATTCACCAAACAAATGGCTTTCGTCTCATTGATCACCTATCATCTGATTCGTGTTAATAGATCTGCGGCCGGAGTGTTCAACGATGTTTATCTTCTTTCGTTCGACTCAAAATCTGTCGAGTACACGGACGAGGTTCGTTGAACCTCACGAACATTTTGAAATTGTTATAATGTTTTTTGTTTCTTTTTCCTCTTTCAGATAAACTTATTCTTATTGAGAATTAATCGTCAAGATATTGGATTCTCTTTCGCTCATTTAATTGTTATTACTCCGAATTTCGTCTCATCATTAGCGACAATTTCCCTTACTCTTGGATTAGCTTTGGGAACAGCATTCAATTGATCATCATATTCAAGATCACTCATCTTTAATTTAGCTTGAACATTTCCAATGTTCAGCTCGATATAAAATCTCATCGTTTCAATCAGAAATTTTCAACTGTCAATAGCCATGAGGACGTGATACTAATGTTTACCAGTAAATCTTAATTATTGTTGTGTTTGTAGTTAAAATAACCACAAATTGACTTTGATTTGCTTCATAAATGTGTTGATCTAATTTAGCTTATCTTAAATGTATTTGTTTTCATCATTAATCAAACTCTTGTTTGAAGTTAATCATAAGACATTAATGGGAAAATTTAAATGTTACACTTTGAATGCGTGATCTGTTTACTTAATTGTCATTGTAAACGTGATTTATGATTCACTTTGAATCAAACAATTAAGTCTGATCATGTTGATTAAAAAGTAACAATTAATATACAATATTCTTGAAGAAAAAGTTTTATTTACAAAAAAACAGACAAAAAGATAACTTGGAATCTATCAATATGTATACGTCATTACACATGATTGTTTTTCGTTTGCATTACTTATCGTTTGTAATGATAAGTGAATTGATTTAATGATAACTTTGGGTTTAATCATTAACGTAAAGGGAGAAAAGAAAACAATTAACTTCAAGTCATCAACACGAAATCTGATCACATCTCTAATCAGATCTTTGAGGTGGTTGATAATCATTTGAAATCAATTAATGATGTTTGTGGTTGATGATTATGATTATGATTTTTGATGAGATTTGTGATTAAGATCCACTTGTTTGATCTCATAAATGATGTTTGATTTATCAGGAAAAATAATATGACTTTCGGTGGGATGAAGTTTGATTTCTGTAGGATGTTTAAGGAAAAAGTTGGTTACTGATCAATTGATTAATTCTGATGATAATTGGATGATTCTGGTGTTTTATCACCGCTTTTCACTGATGGTTGATTCTTTTCCAATGTTTCTGAACCAGAATCAAGAGTAAATTCCTCTAATTGTGCCGATAATCGTAATAATTGTTGGTTAATTGTTGTCCTCGGTATCTTGGGCTCAATCATCTCGATAACTTGTAACGTTGAATCTTTATTGAGGGAAAAGAAATGTAGTCCAGGACAAAGTCCTTGATTAACTAGATTAAGGCACAATTGTGTTGATTGTTCGATGGCAAATTGTTTAATTTGTTGATCACAATTTGAAATATTTTCAATTTTCGATTCCAGTTGATTACAGATCGGAACTTGGGTTGTTTTCATCATTCGGGTAAAAGATCGATAAGATGGAAAGGTAAATATTCCCGGTAAAATGGGAGCTTTTATATCAGCTGATCGACAGAGTCTAACCCATTGGGCAAAAACATCAACATTGAAAAAAAATTGGCTTATTATTAGATCAGCACCAGCGTCAACTTTGGCCTTTAAGTATTTAACATCTTCAGCAAGGGATGATACCGATGGATGACCATTAGGATAACCAGCGACCGCGACGACAAAATCGTTTGGAAACTCGGCTCGAATAAATCTAACGATATCAATGGCATGATTGAATTCCCGTTCCGTTGATTCATCTAAATCGTCACCTCGCAAAGCAAAAATATACTTGATTCCACAGTTTTTAGCTTCTTGTAGGAATTTTCTACCCTGATCGGAATCCATTAAATCTGAACAGGTCACATGAAGGAGAATATCGAATCCATAGTTGGTGATTATCAGACGGGCCAAATCAAATCGAGATAATGATTCAGTGTTCGATGTTCGGGAAGTACTTTTAGATGTGATGGCACAGAATAAGGGTCGATATTTTCTTAAATCACTGAGTAGATTTTTCAAATCATTCAATGATTTACTCGATGGTGGAAATATTTCAATTGAATAGAAGGGTAACTTGGAACTTTCAATTAATTGTGAAAATTTGGTGACACGAGATGATGATTTGATCGATGTTGATGTTGACATTTTGATGATATTCTTTGTTTTCAGAATGGAAACTGAAGAGTTGAAGTGAAACCCAGTTAATTGTCGAGGTAATAAATGTGAAAACATGAAAAAGAACTAACAAAAAGTGATTATCATGATAAAATTAAGATAATAGTGATGATGATGATGATGATGAGAAGGAGGATAAAGATATGGATTGTATTAAATATGATCACATAGATGAAGTTGATTATCTTCCAATATAATCAATTCTAGTTTTATGAATGTTATTGGAAACCAATTAAGCTGATAATTGAGTTGATAAGATGCAGAAAATGTAGCAATTAGATTGCAATTACTGTTGTTCACTTGCTGGTGATGAAAATTTCATAGTTAACAAAAAAAAGAAAATTAACCAAAATAGTTAATTGAGTTGACGATCGTGACGAAGATGATGATGATGTTGTTGTTGTTGAAGATTTGATCTTGATGTTTAATCAAACAAGAAACAATCACGTGGAGACTAAACATCAATTGGAGAGAGAGAGAGTCCAAGTTAACAGTTAATTGTTTGAAGAAATCAAATTAGATTTTCATCTTATCTCATTTGTAAGTAGAAACATAATTACACTTTTGTTTTAAATTGTGGAAAGAGAAGGAAAAACAATGTCAATAAAGGCACTTTCTCTGTCAACAAGCAACATGATGCCTGGAATGATGTGATTATCTTTAGGTCCTTTTCTGTGATCAGCTGATTTTCATTTCTTTTTTTATGCTGCAATTTGGATTGGTTGTTGCAAAAAGAAAATAGAATCACCCAAACTACGCAGACTACGAATTTGAACTTTTCTCTTTATTCTTGGCAAACCATCATTCAATTAAGTTCTTCATATTCTTGTTTAAGAATTACTTCAAATGAGAATGGTTGAAAACTGTAACCGGTTCCGGCGTAGAATTTACTTTGAAACTCAATCCAATGTAACCTTAGGGCGTGAAGAAAAGCGCTCAGACCTTCCATTAAAAGTAGAACGGCCACTGTTAAGCAAGCCCAAAATGCGAAAATGAAAAACATTAATAGTCCACCAGCGAAACCGTTGAACGTTGTTAGCCCAATTCTGAGAACCATATTCCATAAAACTTCACTTAATTGAGCGTGAGCTAAGCTCAATGCCCATAATCTAAGGTACGATGCTGTATGTGAAATCGACCCGAGGCAAGATTCAATTGTATGGATTACCTGGTGAATGATTATCTCTCCAAGATCAAATTCTTCATGGTTCTCATGATTATCGACACTGTTAACCGTTACTTTCTCTTGTTCTTTGGGTACTTCATCGTTTAAAATTTCCATAGGAATGCCAACTTCATTCTCGATTATAATGTTATTATTGTTCGTTGGTCTAGAGGTCATTTGTTTACGCTCATCGTTGGCCTTTTTTAGAAAGTAAGGTTTAACACAGAGCATCCAGGGTATGCAGGAGAGAGCGATTATCAACAAAACTGTTTGAATAAACTGTTGACCCCAATACATTGGTGCTAATGAACATGGAGTATCTTCGTACTTGTAGAGGAACATGTTGATTAGAATAATCAAAACTGATGGAGCACATGAAGAGCCAGAAGAATCATAGAAAATCCATTTTGCCAAGATGAGAATATTTAGATAACCGAAAATGGAGATTGTGAAAATTATCTGAGGAAGAAATTCACAGTAGATATTCAATTGATTGTTAAAATATCGATGATTGTACAAACTAAGGATAATACCGAACAGCATTTGACCAACTCCAAGAAGAACTGAAAGTTTCATCTTATATGAATTGAGGAAGAGAATTTTATTCTCGGCAACTTGCCAAACAGGATCCATTCCAAACCAATATGGTGATCCTGAATACTCTTTACCAGGTTCTAACATCATCACCTCAGGGTATAAACCTTTGTCGGGTGGATGAGATGAGACCCATGATGAGCCGAAAATGTTAAATGATTTAGAGAAGATATCATTATAAATGAAACCCGTGTAGATGGAGAAAAGTCCCATCAATAGGATTAAATATCTTCCACCGAAAAAGGTAAGAAATATTTCATTTGTTGACTTTTTCGATTGAATGAAATTCTCTTTCATAACCATCCAAAGGCCGAAAAGTGTCATCAATAAGCCATGACCTGCATCTCCAAACATAACGGCAAATAGAAAAGGGAAAGTGATTATTGTAAAAATGGCTGGATTAATTTCTCGATAGGAAGCAACACCATATGAATCAACCAAATTCTGAAATCCTTGAGTAAATTTATTATTCCGATGAAATGTTGGCGGTATTTCCTTAGTTTCGATACAATTTAAAATTGAAGGTACGGATGATCCACTTCGATCTTTTCCTCTTCTCAATGCAATATGAACTCTTTCCAGGTCATTATTGGGACACCAACATTCAGCGATTAAACATTTCCTAGTAAGATCTAAATTGAACATGTTAAGCGAAAGATAGATCGCTTTTATTTTTCGAACCTTAACCTTCCATGTGTTCAAATGTTTAGCAGCCGCGGCTAATACTCGATAACGATGTTCAGTTGTCTGTTTAAGAACAATTTTCAATTCATCAACCCTTGAGGTTAAATTGGTGATCATTTCTTTCCGGGCAATAGCAGTTTCCGGGCAAGGGTAAAGTGATGCTCGAAAACCTTCACAAATCTTTTTCACTCGAGTCATTAATTGTTCTCCTTGGAAGAAGATGATAAATACTGATTTGAAATCGTGATCACCGGAAATTGGATCTTCAATGGGTTCGTCGATAAAGGCTTGACGTAAAAAGACATTGCCCATACAAACGCGCCAAAGCATTCGTTCAAACGAATGCAATCGATCTCGACGAATTACACCAGTTACAAAGCTAAAAGAAAAGTCGAAGAGGAAGAGAAAGAGAGTAAAAAAAATTAGATTAGATATTGACAATTAACAGTTATACGTATGTATAGCAATAGATTACAGAATCAACAAGTTGCTGTTGGTCTTTTTGTTGGATTATAATATCAACTATCAAAAGATTATTGGATGATAAACAAGGTAAATAAAGGTAAAACTACCAATCGTTATTAAAACAAACTCACTTCAATTTAACGTGAGCATGGATTGAGAGGTTTATGGCATCATCTCCAGCTAATTGGGTCCAATCTTCACCTAGTCCAGTTCCTTGCATCTATTGGAGGAAGGAGAAAACAAAAATGGAAACTAAAGATTATAAGATTAACGGTAAAGAGATGAACGGAAAATTGAGAATTGATTAGATTGGATGGAGAAAAATTAGAGAGCATGAAACAACAGGGTGGCAGAATATGGAAATGGACTAATAACCTCAAGAAAAAATGCATGAGTTTTCTCGAGAATATGACGGAATTCACATAATTCTGAGAATGTTTTCTTTAAAGCATCCATGTTGAAATTAACTTGCTTCAATTCGTTGTCCAGTTTGGCCAGGGTGGTCTCTAAATCGATCATTTCTCTTGGTGGTGGTGCTTCTGGTACATCGCTGTTATCACAGATTGGTATCTCATCTCTCTTGATCTCTTTCTCAAGAATATCTGGAAAAAGAAAATGAAAATACAGAATAGAATTACGAAGAAATGAAATAATAATAATAACATGTTTCTCGACTCTATCAATTGAGAGGGTAAAGGTTAAGATGTACATACTTATCTTTCGCTCCATTTCCTGGCATCTCATGACTTCACTGATGAATTTCCGTTGAAATAGATACACATCAGGATTAAGCTAAAGAAGACAATTCTTAGATTAGTTCAATTGTTTTCACCAAGAGAGAAAAGTGTTTGAGAGAAAATTGGAAAAAAAAAGAAAAGAGATTGAGATTAAGAAGGAAATAGAAATTCTAAAATAAACCGGAAAAATGGAAGAGGTAAAATTAATAATCAATTTACATCACGAAATTGAACCAGACCAAGTTCACCCAATTCAGCGACACAAAAATAAGCAGCTTCGGATTGAAGAAACAATTGACAAAGAGACATCTCTTCACCTCTCAATAAACTTCCCATGGTTGCAGATTAACGGATATTTGGGATTATCCAGAAGATAAAAATTCTAAAACAAAACAAAAACACTAATTTGGAGAGAGTTGATTTCACTTGGAGAGAGAAAAAAATAACAACAATAAATGTAATTAGAGAGAAAAATAATTTAAATTGTTAAGAGAATGAAAAAGGAAGAAAAATAAACAATCAAAGTGAATGAGAATTTGACAAAGAAGAGAAATAGAAAGTGAGGGAAAGAGAGAAAAAGGGAGAAAAGTGAGAGAGAAAATTAGAGAGAAAAGAGAAAAGTGAGAAAGTGAGAGATTGATGAGGTTACCAAACGATTAGATTATTGGGATGATTATGCAAAACACTCGACAGTTGATGGACAATTAAACTAATCATCTGGTCTCAAAATCACAGGTAAATGTTTTCACTTTTAATTACAATTCATTTTTCCAGGTAATGGATCTTGGCGATTGTGATGGATAAACAGGAAGAAATTATTTTCTCTTTGTCTTTTTTTTTCTCTCTCCTTTTTGTTTGTTTCAATTGCTTTTGTTTTCTTATCGAAACAATAACAACAATTATAACTGTTTTCACCCTTTTCTCTCTCTGTGTGTCTCTCTATCCAGGTAACAATCATTTACTTGATCAACTGTGATTAGGTAAAAACACCAAGGTTGGAAAATGGGTGTACCCCTGAAGATAAAATCTCTGGATGGAACATTGGAATTGAATTTTCTTCTTCTCTGTCAATCTCAACATGATAATTTTCTATCACCACCATGGGTTTGTTTTTTTTTCTTCTATTCCTAAATCTCTTGTTCTTTTTGTCTTCATCTGATTAACCGTTACATTGTTTTCAATTGTCTTTCATTTCTAATTCTAATGGTACCAATAATCCTTCTGATTGTTGGTCACTTATTCCACTGGCCTATAAACACCGTTTTCTAATTACTCTGAGTTAATTTTTCTTTCTATTCTGTTTCTTTTGTTAGAATCTTTTGTTTTTCTAATTGGATCATATTGGATTAAAATCTCCATATTCTAAGTTATTAGATGGATGGAATTTCCAATCAACCCATGATGAAGATGCAGGCGTTTTCTAACAATGAGTGTTGGTGTTGATCACTTTTTCCCCGCAGTTGATTGATTCATTGAAAACACCTCACTCACTGATTGGAAACGATGAATAATATTAATAATCTTGGATTATCTTTCCAATGGAAAATGATTTTGAAGATATGACCTGATTTAATCTTGGATCAAAGATTATCTCTCTGTGTGTTTTAATACTTTAATTACGCCCATGATTAACTGGATCTTGCTGATATCGACAAAGAATACACAGTAGTCGAGGAAATAATTAGTTCCTTGATAGTCTATTGTTAATCCAGGTGAATAATAATTAGTAATTATCATGTTACAATTTTCCGGATCTATTGTGTTCTCAATGTTTTTACAATTTCTTTTCTCAATTTCTTTTATTATTTTCCATTCATGTGAAGCTTTTACCTGTCCCGATAAAGGTAAAACTGGAGCATCTCAAGTTCCTCTTATAACATCACTTGTTGCCCATCAAACTGGATATCAAACTAAAATTGAATTGGTCACTGGTTCTGGTCATTTATTTACCATCGATGAGACTTTTAATCAACTGAATTTCGTGGGAAACGTTAAGGTTAATGATGGAGCTGGTTATCAACATAAATTTTTCTGGTACCATCTAGAAGCCAAAGAATCATTTTTCGTTGGTATTGATCAATCTTGTTCTGCCAAAAATTTAACTGATAATGTTAAAAAATCAATTATCAATGATTGGCTAGCATATAGTAGATTATCAGATGAAACGGACATTTCAAATGACCCTCAAGTCTTAGGTCCAATGCTTTTATTTACTTATATGAGAAGCAAATTGGATAATCTAAGATATTTGGATAAAGTTAATCTCGATGGTCGTCAAGTTTATCAATGGTTTTACTGTTTAAAAGACGACGGACCTTATATCGATGTTTACTTTGACTCGAATAATAATTTTCCAGTCCGTTTGGTTGCCACTTATCCTGATGATCCAACCCTTACCACTACTCTAAATGTAATCACATTTGAACCTTTAACTAATCAACTTAACGATTTGATTACTTACCCTTATGGTTATGGTTGCGAACGACTCAACCCCTCGACTATTGTGATCCCGCAATTTGCTCAGGCCGATACTTTTACCTTGGACATGGAAGCTGCTCTCTTTTTCACCCAACCTGATCGATCGGCCGTTACTACAGCACGAATAGCTCGATACCAAGGAATCTATTCATATGATCTTAAAGAGAATGGATTATCAAAGCGAATCGTTCATGACCCTAAACTTTTGATTGATTTTCAAATTGATCCAATTTCGGGTTCATGTTTTGAAGATCAAGCTTCTAATGGAGCGGGTTATGGATTCACTTACCTTCGGTGGCCTTATGCTGAAAATGAAGCCTACAATCTTCTAGATGATTCGGTTCTTAATTTGGAGAGTAAAAAATTAAATTACATGGGACAAATTGTCGAAGAAAATAAACGTTTGGATATTTTCGAAGCAAAATTGAACTCTTTTTTCGCTTTTCCCGATGATGCCAAATTCGATGGACTTGTGACCTACTTTTTCCCTGCCATATACGACAAAAGACAATCAGTTCGCAATCAAGCTCCATTAAGAATGGTAATCAAACCTTCCCGTGAATTGACTGAAATTTATGCAGTTAAAGTTGTTGAAAAAATAGATATTAAAGTGATCGAATACCAAGAAAAAGCAATCGATTTCGAGGACAGATTTGACATCTCTGAATGTTTCGATAAACCTGAAGACTATACTTGGTTTCAAATCGTTTTCTCTGGTAAAAAAGACGACCTTGAATCTTGGAAAGATCAAGACGAAGTATTAAAATCGATAACCAGAAAAGTTCTTTCATTTATTCCCGAGATTCGAATACCAGATATACAAGTTTCGTACCTTGGAAGTGTCGTTTACATTTCGTGTAAACTATTGGAAAGACCAAGTTATCAATACGATTTCTACAAGACTCCTGGTTTCACAGTCGAGAATCCAACCAAAATTATCCAGCGAGATCACGAACAAGATTGTGGTGAAATTTGTTCCGAAGATGAATTTTGTACCAACTTTGCGTATTGTAATAATCTCGAGTGTCGTTTATTCAGTTCAACAAAGGGAACAACTTATCCTTTCATCGAGGAATCAACTGATTGTGATGGATTTAGTCGTAATAATTATTTCGTTTCACCGAAAACTCAAGTGGAAGCGAATTTCCTTAAATCGTCCAAGAGTTTAATCCATGAGATTAAGGCGAAAATCTCCAAAGGAGAATTAAATGTAAAAGATCCAAATCTTTCGGCATTAGATTTGTTCATTGTTTCGGGTCCAGATGAACTTGGTGATCCAGATAAACTTTTCCAAGATGACGATGTTGGACTAACTAATATCGCCGATCATTATCAAGTCTTTTTGTCGGGCCGTCGATTGTCCCAAGGAAACTCGATGCTTGGCTTAGATTATTCATCTTGTTTAAACGAGTGTGACAACGATGATAATTGTTTAATTGTGTCATTTTGTTCATCACGAAAAGGTGAATGTATTTTAGGCAATTCGACAGAAAATATCAACCAAGAATCAACTTATTCCAGTGAAGGATGTAATATATTATCAAGTGAGTTAAATTTGTAACATTTTCAAATAGGAAAAAGGAAATTGATTTTTGGCAGAAATAATTAGTTACCACTAATTTAATTGTTATTCAAGTAAATTATGTTGATTGCAATGGTTAATGATTCTTGTTATTAATGTTTGTGTTGCCAAATCGTTTTGCTTTCACTTGAATATATTACATAATTGTTGTTTACATTACATGTACTTGATTATTGTTTTATTTTCAACTGAACTTAATTGGCTTGATTACAAACTAATCGCAATTGTCAATCTTTAAACTCATAAGATATTTGATGTTTTTTTTGCTTTTCGAAAAGATTATCAACAAATCTTGTAAATTGTTTGATGTAGTTAGTCTAATACAAACAATCAATGTGAATTTAAATAGTAATTATGATTTGTTTTCTTTTCAGGATCATATTCATCTTTCTTTAAGAAACTTCCGGGTCGAAGTTTGATCTTTGATGCTGAGCAAACTTTGGAAAACATTAGCGTCGAAGACTGTGCTCGAGCTTGTGTCCAATCATCATCTAAATCATGTGAAGCATTTGATTACTGCCCTGAGGCTGGAATGGTTCAGAACTCAAAGTAAGAGTGATTTAGATTATGATTAACTTTCAATTCTCACAATTAAAATCAATCTCTATTCCTAATTGCAGAACTAAAATCAAAGCTTGTTTCCTTCACACTTTTCATCTTGCCAAAGACTCAGCAAGTGCCATTGATGGTAAAATCTGGAATTTCACCGAAACCCAATGCGATCATTATGCAAGTGAGTCTACAATTCATACATTTGATTGATTATTCTTAATTTTCATTGATCTCTTTCCCCTTTACAATCAATTTAGAAATACTATCAAAAGATTACAAGCAACTTGTTGGTTACAAGTTTAATCTTAATGAGGAATCAATGATCTTACAAACTTCCGATGTTTCCCTTGAAAATTGCGCTGGAAGCTGTATAACTACTGGTAATTGCAAATCATTTGATTATTGTGAAAATCAATCACAATCAGGAATGATTACCTCTAAATGTCGTCTTTCTTCAATTAAACCTGATGCAAAATCAAGTAAATCCTTAGAAAGTTCAATAGAAAGATGTTCAATCTATGTTACCACTTATGTTGATCCGAATACAATTAATTCATCAAAATCTCATTCGAAAGCTTGGCTTCTCATTTCATTGAGTTTCTTCACATTTATCATCGCTTTCACTATTGGTTTGGTTGCTGCTCGATATTATTATAAACGTTAATCAAGTTTAATTACTATTAATTTATTAATCTTCGTGTAAAATATTCAGATGAAAAAGTACAACAATCATTGTGATTTGATTTGATAGCCTAATTAACTTATAAAGATCTGTAGAAATCTTTAATCAATTGTAAACATACATTTCCGTGTTTCCTTAATTATCTGATGCTTGATTGAGAATTGTTCATAATTAATCTCAAATTACTGTTTTTCCCTCTAAAGTGAAAGATGATATTCATCTCATGATAATCCATGTTAAATTGTTGATCATTACATGATCAACACGGCGATTCGCTTAATCACAATCATAATTGTAATTAAATTTTATTTCCATAAGAATCAATAATCTTTAAAATTATCACTTTTCTTGAATTCATGAGTCACAATCAAATCTAATAGCCAATTTCTATCTAATTGATTGACTTTTTATCGAGTCACTATCAGATAATTAAAGTGATGATCAGATGAAAATATAAATAGAAAATTGATTATCATTGTTGTTTAAATTTCTAAAATTATCACAATTATCGAGAGCTCATTGAGGAATCATGAATCAGCCTGTAATCATCAATCTCGAACATATAACGTGATAGAAAAGGTCCAAGCTCTTTTCCGACAGTTTCATGTGGCCTGGGGGCTTTCGTTGGAGGAATTGTAATCACTTCAATTATCAATCATCTAATCATGAAAAAGAAAACTTGAATAACAATAATCGAAAGCTTCTTTTTCAATTAATTCGTTCTAATTATTAAATCTTATTTTGAAATGATTTAGAATGTTAGTATTGAGCCTATTCGATATCGATCTGAATCTCAAGCTCGAATGGTACAAGTACCTTTTCTAAACTCGTTTCGATCGTCGATTTAATGTAAATAATCTTAATGATTAACTAATCAAAATCTTTCCGAATTCACTGAATTGGTTTGTAATTTCATCTTAATTTCCGAGTGAAACATAAATATTTTATTCGGAAAGTTACTGAGTAATCAGCTAATTTCTTTTAATTGTGAGTGTCTTTTTTTCGTATGTGTGTTTTGTGTTGTGCGATGGATTAGGATGAGGATTGCGAATAGAAGATGAAGATTAATGTTTCTCATAATCACTAAAAGAGGAGAACAGAAAAGAAGACGAAATGATTTTGACCTTAAACAATTAACGATAAAAGGGAAACTTTAAGAAGAATGTTAATTAAACATCTCAACACAGACATTTGATGATTTAGATTAAGTTTCATTAACTCATTGACATTTTGTTTCTTTTGTTTTGTTTTGTTTTTTACATTAAATCAGGTAAAAGGTAAAATTTGTCACCATAGATAATCAATGAGATTAATGAGGAAATTAAAGGAACACAAGAAATAAGATAAAACAATAAAGATAAAAGGAGTTAAATCATATGATCGCTAATTAGCAATTTTCTGATGATTGTTGTTTCATTTTGTTGACGACGATGATGAAAATGATGATGATGCTTGTTGACTTTTCCAAATCCGATTAACTGATGTTCCTTTCGGGATGTTTCATTAAAAGCTTCCAAAGGTAGACAAATGATGACTGATGACAATTCTGTTTGTTGATTAATTGTTGAACAGGGAAAATTGTTATTAAACTCCTTCCATCGGTCATAATGTAAATCCAACATTTACTTTAACCAAAGACTCTGTTGATGAATTATTAATGATTGTGATGATCAGGATGATGATGTCGGTGTTGTTGTGGTGGTGATAATAATCATAATCAGTGAATATCTGGTAAACATGAAGGTGAATCGATTTGATTGTTCAAATCTACCAACAGTAATCAATTTATCTCCTCCATCAATTGGGCTTAAGTGTCTTGAGAATGGCCGAAACCTCCTCGGCAATGGCCTCGAGAACGAACTCAAATTGGGCCTTTGACTTGACGCTTCCTCCTCGTTGGTCTCTAATGTGTTCCAGTGTAGCAGCGATGTCGATCTCTTTGGCTCCTGAAACGAAAACAAAAACAATCAATTAACTAATCGAATTCAATTCCAGATAATAAAAAAGAATAGAAAACAAATTGTTCTCATTAATTTTGTCTCTCTATTAGCGAATGTAAATTAATATATTCGGGGGAGAATCACATGTAACTCGATCATGTGACTTTCTCTCTTGTGGTAATTTGAGATTCTTTCAATTTAAAGAGAATCAGAAAAAAAATTTTCTTCTTTTCTTTTCTGTAATTAATTAAATTCTCTTCGTTTTCTCATTAATATTTAATTATCTCTTGTTTCATTTATATTTATCATTAAATTTACGATAACCTGATGATCACCTGAACATCTAACAAGTGAAATATTTTCTCTATTTTAACTGATTAACTTTGGTTAAGTGCTGTTATTTAATCAACTCTCTTAAAAGGTCAGTTAAATTATCCTTTGTCTATATTTTTTTCTCTATGTTATTGGTTCGCCATTTTTTATTGTTTTTTTTTTGTTCTTTTTCTTTTTTAGCTTTTCTATCAACAGTTTTCCATCTTTATCACTTGGATGTGTTAATCACCATCAACATTTTCCATGTTCATTTGAACGAAAGCTGATTGGCTTTGGGAAGAAGAGAAAACCCATTTAATTCAGAATTTGTGTTTCTTTTTTGTTTCCTCTTTTCTTTATTTTCCTGGATAAGCAAAAACTAAAAAAAAAGTCGGTAACTTAATTTTCTGTGTAAGTGGTAAAGTCATTGGCAATCGATTTGCTTCCAATTGATGTCAATTCAATCGAATTATGTTGGCTAATTGTTGTGAAAGGTTATCAAACAATGGATAACATTGGTAGTTTTTCTTTCCTTCTATTTTGTGTGAAACGCAATTAAGTGCATTTACAGTTTGATTTTATTCCGTATATTTGATTACATCCACTAATTAACTATTTAACTATTTACCATCTGAATGACTTTTTCTTCTCTTTTACAGTTAATTCTAATTTAACCATTGGCTATGGTGTTTTCTATCCTACAATTTACCATTAATTCATTTTCTTAGGCCCAAGAAGCAACTTTCTTTCTATCATTTCTGGTCATCGAAAAGTCTCAAACCTACTTACCAATCTGACCTATTGAAATACTTTAAGTAATTTCCTGATTGATCATAAAGAATCTAGTACCTTGTTATGAATCAACTATTAATACAACCATTGATACTCGATAAAAATTAACCCAAAGGTGAGTAATTAAACAATTTGATTGTCGTTTGCAATGGAAGAAAGCAAATTCAAATGTCAACCGATTGCTTGAAATTGAACAAATCTCTTCATCTAATGTCTTGTTTGATTAATGAAGTTGAGGTAAATGAAAATTATATGAAAAGAGAAAGAGATGAGACAAAAACACTATTCAGAAATTCATATGGTTTTTCATAAGCGATTTGACAGAAATTGAAATTTTCTGAATCTTTGAATTCACATTCTATTAATAATAATAAGTAACTCTACATTTTTATTTCCTTCATTCTCCTAGAAATGGTTGGCTAAGCTTGGAAAACATTACCAGAGAGGTGAACATGGAATTAGTATGAGAAAAAAAGGAGAAACTACCAGTTGAATGTATGGAAGCAACAAGAAAGTGTATCATTGGTGATTGGTGATGAATAAGAAGCCAGAGTAAAGATGAGATAATGAAAGAAAAGTTGATGATGAAACCAATCATGAATTATGATTTTTACATATTCCCCCTGTTGAAAGAAATTACTCACGATGAAGAAGAGGATAAAGAAGAAGGATAAAAGTGGATCAATGATTCTGAAGAGCTTCATGCCAACAACACCAAGAACATTATCACCAAGAATGGAAGGAATGACAACCGATCAAATAATAATAATAATTATCATTGTAAAGGTATTAACTCAAACCTGGAGATTGTTTTGTTTAGATATTTATAATGGAATCAACAACTCGGAGAAGGAACAAAAAAAAGGAACAAAAGAGAGAATATTGAAAGAAAGTCATGAAAGGAAAACATCTATTTGTGACTTGGAGAATAGAGAGGAAAAGATCTCTTTTTTTCCTCTCAAAATTCACTTTTCCATTTAGTTGATCAATGAAATATTCATAAGAAAGTTCTTTTGTTTCCTTATTTTTCCATCACATGGTTGTATTTGGAATCGAGGAATCAACTATCAGATGATTACATGTACATGTAAATATAAAACCTTCGTAAGGAGAAAAACAAAACAAAAGTCTCTTGGATTTTGTTTTCTGCTTATATTGAGAATTTTATCTTTTTTCTTTCCTCTCATAGGTAACAAGTGAAATCTACTCTGGCCAAAGGATAGAGCAAAGAAGGAGAAAAGAATTACAATAGAATCGAGTTAATCCATCACCATATTATTGAAATGTTACATTCTATCCACACAACAACAACAACACCAACAAAAAAGAGAGATGGAAGTGAATGTTAAGCATATATAATAGAGCGTCAAATGATGATAATTCAGTTTCAAGTGCTAATGGACCGAATGAATAATAGAATCAATTCAACAGAATCAGATTGGCCGCAGGCAAGGAAAGGAAGACACTATTGTAAAGGAAGATGAAAAAAAAGAAGGATCAAAAAAGTACAATTGATGCTGGAAGAATAAGAATTATGCTTTAATTGAAGAGAAGTTAAAGCTTTAAATGTTACGATATATGAAAAAAAGGTAAAGCATATCCACCAAGTTATCATCTCATAAATATAGATATGACTATTTTGATATTATTATTAATACATTATGGTGTTCATATTATGTATTCATAATAAGTATTCACTGTTGCGTATTTTTTTTTATCCATTTGTATGTATATTTTACTTGAGAAAAAGATATACCTGCAAATATATATTTCTCAGGTATTAATAATATACATATAAATGTTATTGTATGCATTGAGTAAGCCTCTTAGCATTGATTATATAGCTTCAATATTACATAATTTCCCTTTAGTTTCCTACTCCCTCTCTCTCTCTCTCTCACTTGATATTATAATGTAATATTAAGGTTTTATTATCATTTCTAACTCATCTTTCTTTTCATCATTTTCCTCATCAGGTTATTATTTTTTTTCGGTGACACAAAAAGGAACCAGGAAGAGGATAAAGACTACATGATATTAATACCTGAAAACATATGGAAGTGAAATTATCTTGTTGCTTGTTGTTTTCGTTAATTTATCAAGTTCAAGTTTACCTTTTTTCTTTTCTTTCTTTGTGTGTAACATTCAGAGGATTGAATTGCTTATAACATGGTAAAGAGAATAGAGGAAAGTGGTAAGCCAAATAAATTGCATTTTCTTCATCTCTTTAACCTCTTCTTCTTCTTCTTCTTCTTCTTCTTCTCTCCCTCACCATCTAATGTATTCTAATATATTTTACTCAAATTACTTTGACTAATGTTAACAATTAACATTCTTCTTCTTCTTTTATCTCTATTTCATTGTATGATTAGTGAATTGTTGAAAGAAATAGGAGAAAGAAGAAGCTACAAATGTTAACATCTTCATTAGATGATTATTCTGTGATCTTTTTCCTTTTATATCAATTGAACCTCAAGAGACAAATGAAGAAGAAGAAGAAAAAACAACATTGTACTTGGAATGTTATTAGTGTGAATTATAACGTTTTTTTCTCTGTTTCTTTTTTTCTATTCATATTTAGGTTAATAAGAATATGGTAAAGTTTTTTTTTCTCTTATAGTTTGGTAAGTTCTCTTGTAGTAATTATGAGAAAAGACAATAGAAGATTTGGAAACCTGATATTGTTTCAAATGGAACTATTAATACCATGAAACACTCTGGATGATTATATTGATTATCAAATGTATCTTTTTCTTTCATCTATTGACATAATTTAGAGACAACTAATGGATCCACAATTGAGCTTCTCAATCAACGATATTCACTAAGGTTAACCTATATCTCAATTTACTTCATTGAATTTAACAGAACTCTGGTAACTGAGTCATCATGATCATGATCATCAATTATACTCATCATCAGAATCACTTGTATGTTATTAGTTAGAATACTTATGAATTTAGTTGATTGAAGGTTTTTTTCCTCTCTCTCTTTCCATGAGTTGACCCAAGGTGATTAATAATCAATTCCCTGATATTAGTATCTAATAGTAGAAATTTAAGTTAAGTTTCCATTAATAAATTTCGATTCGACTTTTCCTTTTATCTTTAATGAATGATGAGCTTTCAACATCATCAACGTAAATACTGTTGATATGCTATCAGAATTTACGGAAAAATTATTAATCAAGAACAATTTGTTTGCAGAACGAAATTTAATTGATCCAATTACGGTCCTTTTCATATGATTATTATCTTTTCATTTAAAGAGATGATTAAAGATTATAAGCTATGAAAATTGTTATAAAAATCTACCTGTTGACATGGAAAACACAATCAACAAGTTGGAAATATTGTTCAGAATCGTGAAGTCTTGACAAAAATACGAAACCATGGATTCAGTAATACTTGTAATCATAATGATCAATAATATGATTAAGAGTAAATTAGCCATTGTATGAATGAGGGAATAAGATGATCATTGTGAAGATGAGTGAGAGAAAAATGGAAAATCTGAAAATTCTGTTGAAACCGACCATGAAAATCTCATAGGAGGTTAGACAAAATGTCGACAATTGTTCAATGTAAAAGAAACAGAATGACAATAAGATGATTTTTCTCTCTCCCTACCTTCTCATTTCGCTTTTATCATTTTCCTTCTCATCTTCTCATCTTCTCATCTCTTCATCCTTCTCATGATCTTCATCTTCCCATTTTTCTACATCATTCCCTCCACGTTCATTGTTATAAGTTAAGCAGCAGGAAAAACAGGGAGACTTGTTAACTAGGAATTAAATCAGTTCTCCAGGAAAACCTAAGCCACCATATAGAATGGAACAATTTTTTTCTTCTCTCTCTCTCTCAGTTGTTTTTTTTTGGACAAAGAGACAATCCTTTTGGTGTTTTATGGTGCAAAGGAACCAAGAACAACGAGGAGATTGAAGATTTTCATGGAAGACAAAGGAAAGAAAAACGAGCAAAAATGATGAACAATGTTGATGATTATGAAGATAATCCATTCATTCATATTAAAGTTACTCATCTTGTTGTTGAAAATGAATGAACAACTCAGGGGGATTCACATGATAAAAGCTAATGAATTTTATTCCTCTTTCCTCTGAATTTCATTCAACAAAGAGTTTGACAAACTACTGTATCGATTTAAACCAAATGAACCTGTGGATAGACAGTAATCATAACAAGGATAAGCTCCTTAAGTAAATCTGATTTTAATTATTAGCTAATTAATATCGCTTAATATCAATTGTCTTGTCATCATCATCATGTAATCAGTGTTAAAATTACACATTGACATTGATAAAAGATATTAATTATTATCATTTGATTGCTATTGTGTTAACATTAATCAGGTAATTACACTTTTATTATCTGTATTTACTGTTACAAAGTTATTACTAATCTTATTATTATTAGTATGAGAAACTATTATCAATTAATTATTATCAACAAACTTTTAGCTGTATTGGTAAAATTAATTAATCAGTGCAACAATTAAATTGATAGTCTTCTTAATCCTTTAGTAATTGTAATTTCTTGCTTCTTGATTTGTTTTTGTTTTGTCACAATTACCAATTGTTATTGTTTAATGATAGTAAATTGTATTGATTAACATTGAAACATTTGGATAGTTTTTGTGTTTTCCCCAATCAAATGAGTTTAGTTTTTATTTATATTCTGTGATTAGTTTGAATTCCCTGAATTTCTGGAAACAAAAGACCCTGAAAGAATGAGGAAAAACTTATATTACCACATAAACTTTAATTTGATTGACTTGATTTAATATTGATTTTCTCTTTCTCTTCTCATCATCATTTACAGATTCTAACATGAAACGATAATATCACGATAATACCTAAAGATTTACTCCTGAGGAACCATTAAAACGTGAATGATTGGTTATCTATCCTTTTTTTATGGTGTTAAACATAGTGTTTAACAACATTGGCTTTTTATTGAATCCAAAGTCGAGATTGAAGGAAAATCATTAATATCAACAAATATCACCAATATTATGGAACGATAATAATATTAAATGGGTTTTCACTCCCTTTCCCATGATAACCTTTCATCCTATGGGCTTTTTTTTTGTTTCTTCCTTGATTTAAGGTTAGGGATGAGGATGGAGAGGATGATGATGGTGATGATGATGAACACTTGGATCATTCTGACCTGAACTGTTTAATATTCAGTGATGATGAGATTGAACAACAGTATATATAAGTTGGATGCTAGGTTGACTGGTGTTAACCAATAAATAAACTCACGTCAATTTGATGATCCTGTTAAATAATTCAAACCTATCAAATCTTTCATTGGAAAGTACTGAAACTATGATCACGAGTTAATCTAATTTGTGTTACTATCACATTTTACTTTATTCAATTCACTTGGAAATTGTTTGAGAAAAAAAAAACTACTGAAGTCCAATCACTTATTCATTGAGAAATCTTATATTCTCATTAGCTAATAATGAAGTCAATTCTGTATTTTAGCTGCTCAGTTACAAGTAACATTAAGATTGACAAATTCAGTAATAAGGATAAGAATGATGGAGAAAACAAAAAGTGAAGCCAACAAGGAGAGTGGAAATGATCAAGTACCATGATGTTTATCATCATCATCATCATGATCATGAAAAAGTTTCTTTCAGATTTTGATTTAACTTAGTTATTTATCTGCTTCTCAATTCTGGTATTCAATAGGATCAGTTTATTATTATTATCGTTGGAAAATGAGTCTTTTTTTTTATAAATAACATCATCTTTTTGCTGAGTAACTATTATCCTGTTGATTTCTTCATGGTCAATCTACTGAAAATCAATAATTTCATCAATCTATTTGAACTCATTGTTATTTTTTTCTTGGTTCATTTTGTTTTCCAAAGGATAAATGGAGAGACACCAAGGACACAAAATTCTGAACATTATTGACATTATCATGATGATGAAGAAGAAGAAGAGAGAAAAAATGACGAAAATGAAAAAGAAACTGTTACTCAAACAGGAAAAGGAAGGAGGATTAAACCGATTCGATAATATTTATAATATAAATTCAGTTTGCTTCATGATTGATATTATCAAGACTAACATGATGTACTTACAATTACTGTTTCCAATATATAAGATCCAGTGTATGTGTTTACCTAATCTTTGTAATTCTGAAAATTTCTCATCAAATAACCTGATGGTAAACCTCATATATTTAGATGTACATGTATTTAGTTACATGTTAACTAATGTAAGGTAACTCTGGAAGTGGTAAAAGTTTCATGTTGATTAAATTAAATTGTATCAAATAGACTGAATTAAGTATATATATAAGATGTTAACAGTTTTCCATCTTATCAGCATCATGAAAACCAATGGAACCATGAACAAAGAGTGTAGAGAAATGTGAAAATATACTCAACACTAGGAAGGAAATTCATTTTATGGTCTTAAGAGCAAAAAAGGGATACTCAACTTTACCATGAAGTATATGAATTCATTCAGATGATTTGTAATTTTATTCACTAACTTAAATCATCAACATTGAATATGAAATCAGGTTAACAGGGAGAATTGAACTTAAATGTATCAACACTGAGTTTGGAATCAATTTTTTTCATTTCAAACTAATTTACAACTCAAACAATTTACATGATTGTGTTTCCATGGTGAAGTTTGATGTTTTCATCAATTTAAATTATCAAACAATAAGAGAGATGATGATGATGATAACTAGAATTGGAACAACAATCAGATGATTTCGATGTTGATTCAATGTTATTTATTTTCTATTTGTATCAATTTTTGCTTCTTTTTGTTGATTTGCTAGAATTTACCTTTTTGTTTCATTGTTCTTGAAATTTGATCAACAAGCAAATGAAACTGTGAATGAACAAGAAAAAGTGAAAGAGTAAAAGGAAAACAAAATAACGGTACAATTGAATTACCATAGAAAAAGTCAATCAACAGTAAAGATAAACACAATTGAATCAAATTAGATATTTAAATGTTAAAAGGTAAAGTTAATTGTGTTCCCACCAAGATAACTGAATCATTTTCATTATTTTCTTGTTGATAAAATTAAATACAATACGAATTGATCATCAAGCAATATCATGGGAATGATTAGATGATTTATATTATCATCATGATCAACATTAATCTGATCAAATTGTTACTCTCATTTGATAGTTTTACCTGATGGATTTTTTCATGTTATTATTGTGTTTATATGATTGTTGTTGATCAAAATGTTATCGTAATGATTATTATGATAAATTAATGATAATCAGAGGGAGAAAAAAATGAGAATACAATCAGTAAGAGTTAATAAAGATTACCTACCTTTGGCTAATCGATTTAGGACCATGTCAATTAGACAATAAGTGCCCGTTCGACCTATTCCATCGCTGGTTATTTATTATCATTGTTATTTTCGATTAGATTGGTAATTAATTCCATGATAGAGAAGATTAAATGAGAGAGAGAAAGAGGAAGGGGAATAAGAATAGGAGCCAGGAGATATAATAAGAAGAGAAAGAAAATCAATATTAACATTAATCGATTGTTATAATACATATCGAAGAGAAATAATTTCTTTATTCTTTTTGATAATATTATGTATTATTCTCTATTCTTTTCATATATATATATTCAGTTTTGTATCATTTTTTTTTTGTTTTGAAAATTCTGACAGAATTTTATTCCAGGATAAATGATAATCTTACCTGCAGTGAACAACAATTGGACAGGATCGACCTCGATATGACTTGTTGACCTTCCTGAAGAAATTGTTAGCATTTTGTTGTCGATATGGCACCGAAGAGAAAGAGAGAGAGAGAGAGATAAAGGTACAGATAGGATGAAGATTTCAAGGAATATATCGAGTGAGTTCATTGGGCCCATGAAGATAAAATATTGGGGAAGATAAGGAAGAGAGAAATGGAGAGAAAAAAGAAAAAGAGAAAAAAGTTTTAGGTTTATTATCATCACATTGTATCATATTAATATAATTTATCTCATTTTGTTTATCACTATTAGTTTAGTTATGATAATAAAGTAACAGTATAATGATAATATGATCTGAATCATTCTGTGAACAAATAATATCAATAATAACATTGTACTAGGAAGAGGGAAGCAAATTTCCAGGTAAGAGTAGAAAATGTTTTCTCTTTATTTTTTTTCTTCCTCTTCAATATAATTATCATATTGTTATTATTATAATCTATTAATTGAACCGAAAATCATATTAAGATATTTCTGTGATATCTTTGGACACATGCAAGATATTCATTGGATGAATAATATAATAAACTTCTAGAGTTCTCGGATCATTTTCCGTTCGCTTTTTTGTTTTTCTTACAGAACTTTTTTTTCCTCTTCCCATGATTGACAGTTACATCTCAACTGTTCAATTCAGTTTCACCAACAGATTAGTTTCTCCCAGATGATTATCATAACATTAATAATTCCTCTCTCTCTCTCTTCCTATTCCTGCTCATCTGAAACTGTATACTGAACTATCATGAGTTGACTCATGACATTGATATGAATATAAACTAAATAACTTTTGTCTTCTTTTTCCTTCATGATAATGAATAGATTTCTCTATCAGATAATAATATCATAATTATCATGTTTAATAATGATAATGGTTTGGTAATCGAAACTTATTCAATGTGTTGATGTTTATTATTAGTCGGATTTTTATATGTATTTATATTCATGTTTCCGGATTCAGAATTTTATTATTATTATTTAGCTTGTGAGAAACAAGGTTATGAATAAGATTAGAATGATGTTCATGGTGATGATGATGATGTGATCATTTCGCTTCCATCACTTTTGTGACTATGCAATTAAAAGGTTTAATTAAAATTGCACCAATCACAAAAATGATGAGAGAAAAGTGATTTATGGTGAAAATTGATGAGAATGAATTTTATTCTGATCTTATTTTCTCACTTGTTTTGTGTATTCAAAGTTGAACAATTGTTCATTTCTTGTTGGAATGAACTTTTTTTTTTGTATATTTTCGATATTGATTCTTACCTTCGGAATTCCAATAGTGATCTTGGATTGGGTGGAACACCATTCTCAGGCCAAGATAGATAGTGGAATTGTGTCACTGTTCGGGTTTCATTAGTTTTTATATTCTTTAGGAAGAAAGATCGAACCAGATAATCATCGCACCAAATGTGCTCTGAGACAAGATGAACCTCAAAATTTGAGTGTAAAGCGGAACCTTCTTCAGGCCAGTATCTTGCCGATGAGCCAACACCATTTTCCAAGAGTCGGGTTAGCATAACAATAATAACCGATCCTTGCTCCCAAACCATTTGCCAGAAATCAGCTACGGTTGAAGGTAATGGTCCTTGGGTGACAATGTAAACCGGTGACCGAGGATCATGGTCTGTGATGGTGGAGGCGTTAATATAATCAGAACGGTTTGGATTAGCTAAATCATTGAGAATTACTCGGGAATGGTCAAAGGGAAGTACATCAGAGTAACGGTTCTTTGATCCATTTTGAGGTAACATGGCGGCGGTTGTTGAACAAGGGTCAACCTCGTATGCACAAAGGGCTTCCCACTCCTTTGCAAGTCGGTCCTTATTTTTCATATGATCTTCCATGTAGCTTAATATCATGTGTCCAGTTGATATGTCAAGATTTGAAGTGATCGGTTCCTCGCTCCTGATGATAAGTAAACAAACAATTAGACAACAATCAATGAATCAAAGTATTTCTTTCACTTTCAATTCATCAACACTCTGAACTGAACAATTCTTAACTCATGGCAATAGTAAAAGTTGTAACCATCAACCTGAAACAATCACCAATCATGATAACTTTAATTTCAATCAATGTTATATAAGAAACTTGATCAATAATTAACCAATGGACGTAATCAGTTTACCAATATTGTTCAACAATATTTAAATTGTTGACAAAGTGACTCTTGTTTGGTTGTTTCTGCTGTTTTATTCACGCAAAGATTAAATTGTCCAAGTGGAAAACAATTACAATCAAATTAAGAGATCAAACAAAAAAAAAGCTCAATCTAAATGTAAAGGTTAAAGTGATCAAATGATTTGATCATAAATGACCACACAAACACACATGTAAACAATTAACAATTATAATGAATAACAGTTTGTGAACAATTTATTAATTGAATTAAAGATTGGCGGACAATCAGCTAATCAATTTAGTTGGAAACAATGTAAATAGATTGAACAATTAACTGATTCTCATCTCGAGAAACAGAAAGGTAAAAGTTATCAAGTTGCAATAGAAAACAGGAAGAGAAAAACTATTCATCATTGAGAACAATTTTAATGAAAGTGAATGAAAATATGAGAGCATTTGTATCAACAGAATTATCATTATTACAGTTCTGAGTTTGGAACAAAAGGTTTTATCTCCTGAATCTCATGGGGACAGAACTGAAAGAAGATGAGGACAGAAGAAGAAAAAGATGATGATGATGATGATGAAGATAAAATATTCTTTTATATAAAGAGCCATATGCTTATTCTCTTCAATCATAATCATCTTCTTTTTTTTTCTTCTTCTTCTAAATATCATGAATCCATTTTCAATCTATATTTTATTCATGGAAAGTTCTGTTTCTTTTTTTGTCTTCCATCATCATCATCATTATCATTTCCATCATCTCGATATCATCTCTCATCTAATACTTGATACTTATTACATTTATGTCTTCGTTTCATCAGAATTGTCATTTGTCCATTGAAACTATTGGTTCTGTTTTTTTTTCTCGATTATTTTTCTGTTCGGATTTTTCTTCAGGATTAAACTCAATTGGTGTTCAATTTGTTTTCTACTATAAATAGTCAGTAAATTGCTCAATGGTTTAAGAGTCATCATGGAATCAGTTTCATGATTAAATTGATACAATGAGTTAAATGTTATTCATATTCAATGGTTAATGAATTTCATCATGATCATTATTTTTTTTTATGTTATTCTATCGAAAAAAGGAAACTCATCAAAATTTGTTGACTGAATTTCATGATGATGATAATGATGATTTTTGAATGAATCAAATGATGTGCGTTAGTTGAGAAAAATGAGAGAAAAGAAAATCTCTGCTTCTAAGTCTCTCTCCCTCTTTTTTTTCTCTAGCACAGGAAACGGAAATCGGTATAGATATTTTATCGCTTGATGAGAATTTTTTCCAGTGTCAAAAAAGTTGAGAGATTTTTCTTCCTGGATGCTTTTTTTCAAGAGATGATCAAGATGAGAATGATGATGATGATGATGCAAAAGCTTAAAAAGAATATATAAAAAAAGGTACAACTGATGAAGTAAATTCGATGGAATAAAATTGGTGATAAGAATGAAAATCCTATAACTGGGTAGTGATGAAGATGGTGATAAGAATGAGGGTGAAGATGAAGAGAAGAAGAGTGAGAGAGAAAATAGTTTCATTGAAGCCTGAGTAAATTTCTTCAGTCAACCATGAATAGGATTTGAAAGAACTGAGAGTTTGGAAGGAGAAAGAATGTCAAATGAAGAAAGAAGGAGAGAAGAGAGAGAGAGAGAGAGAGAGAGAGAGAGAGAAATGATGATGAAGGATGGAAAAGATGAGGATGCTAAAGAGTGGAAAGTGTGACACTGAAAAGCATGTAAGATGATAAGGAAAAAGAATGAGAGTTAATCAGAGTCTCGGAATTTTTAATCCTCTTGAGTAAAGTAAGTTTATCATGATAACGATGCTGATGAGGATAATGCTCAGGGAGAGATGAAGATGATGAAGATGAGGGAAATTGAGTTTTGCATTATTTTCATGTTTAAACCACAACCAAAGGTGTGATACAAACAAACAGAGTGTTTGTATCTTTTTCAATCTCTGACAAGTTTTAATGTAAAATAGGCGATGATGAGGATGCTGATGATGATGATGGTTCGATGGATTAATCTGAGTGAACATTCAACAGAAAAGTTTCAACTCAGAATCAGATTAATATGTTTATTTGATGAAAATAGAACGAGAAATTGATCACCAATTCTCAAGAGAAATATTCCCTTTTTCTCCTCTTACTCTGGTGAAAGAAACTGATTAATATCCATATTTATTTATTATCATGGAAAAATGAAATTATAATATTATAACTTTCACCATCATCCACATGATGGGCTATTGTTATGAACTTTTGTTCAGAGGAAAAAAGTTACAAAGTTTTATTATCTTTTCTTTGTTTACCTTTTTAAATGTTTACTTTGATTCGTGACTGTTGATGATTCCCTTTTAAATTGATACAATTTTTTCTCTCTCTCTCTCAGTTGTGATGAATGGTAAGAAGAAAAATAAAATAAAGTTCTTACCATGATGAGGTTGATGATCTTGATGGTGGTGATGGTTCAGGTCCAGAGTCAACTGATTTACTGTCAGTTCCAGTTTTTCCTGTCTTGGAATCACTTCCACCGCCACTTCCAATAACTCCAACCACTCCACTTCCAAGAGAAGTCACTTTACCCTTTGGAGATTTAACTTCATCTTTATCGGATTTCTTACGATTTTACCTGCATCCGTTGACGACAAAGATCCTGAAAAGTCAACAAAAGAAAATAATTATTTCCATGAATGAGAAAACAAAAGAAAAGTAAGAAAACTTTTATTAAAGAAAAATTCTGATGAAATTCTGATTAATAATTATATAAATCTTTCCATATGGAGAAACACAATTTAATCATCAGAATAAAATCAATAATACTCATGTAGTTTTCTCTGGGAGTAATTGAATATATCTAAGTGCGAAAACAAAAACAATGAATTTAATTTCACAGTTCTCACTATTTAATGGTAACTGTTACTGAGCCAATTCTGATAAATGATAAAATAATAATAATAACGGTAAATTCATATATAGATGTAACTTTTGTTTATTGTTATTATGTTGATATTCAAAAACTTCCTATTGTGGGAGTTTTTTCACTCCCACCTTGTTATCATGGTTATTAATGAGTTATCAATGAATAAATTATTCACTGAGAGAGTGAGAGAGTGAGAGAGTGAAAATGAAATGAATTGATGGGAATAAATGTTTCCATCAATGAAAATCTTACCTCATAATCTGAAGCTGCTTCGGTACCTTCTTCAGCTGAACCGATGGAACCAATTAAATTACGTAATTTATTTCGTAAATTTTGATTACGTTTGATTACAAATAAAACCAATCCAGCAATTAAAGCAGCAAACACAGTGAAACATAAGGATACAGTTAAAACAGTTAATGATTGTTGGCTTGATGATGATTCAAGATTAGGTAAACCTGATGATGAACTTGTTTTGATGAATCGCTTAGCCTGGATTATAAAATGGATAAATAAATGGATACAGTTTAAAATTAGATTCAAGATAAAACATGATTGGCGATGATAATGGTTTCATGATAATACCCAGTTGATAAAATGATAAATTGAATAACAACAAGAATCAAGAAATCAGATTGATTAATAATATAAAAAAAGGTTATGTTGTTTTCTGGTTGAGAGCTACCAACATATTGCTTCATATAAGCAACTTGCAAGTCTCTTTATGCCTTTTCAACAAAAACAAGAAAACATCATCAACTTATCATCATCTTTCTCTTCCTTATCATCTACTCTCTCTCTCTCTCTCTCTCTCATCTTCCCTTTTCATCTTCTTCTTTTTTCCTATGTTATAAAAACCAATACAAATTTCAACTGTAACCCTTGGTTACATAGAATCAATCATACTCTCTTTGAATCTTTCTTTTCAGCTTCTACCCTCTCTTTCGATCTCTCTCTCTCTCTCTCTCTCTTCTCTCTTTCATCCTTCACAACCCCACCTTCAACCTCCCTGCTTGGAACTCGAAAGGATATAAAAATGCTACAGGTTCTCATTCTAATCTTTATTTTCCTTTTTGCTTTTTCCTTCTCTTCTCTTCTTCTATTCCACCTTCTTCATATTTCTTCTCGTCATCTTCATCAACATCTTCTTTTCTCTTATCTTCATCTTCGTAGTCTCTTACTTATCTCCCTCTTTCTTTTTCTTACTTATTCTCTTTCTTTTTTGCTTTCTTTTTCTTCTTTACTCTTCCCTTTTGGGAGACTTAAGTTTCTATTTTTTTTTCTCTACATCTTCTCTTGTTGCTCTTTGATTCTGTCTCTGATTTTTTCTTCCTCTTACATATTGGTCTTACATGTTTCATCTTCTTCATTTTCTTAATCATCATCATCTATATTCCCAATACCAACTCCATCCTCATCCTTAGCATTTTCTGCTTTTTTTCATCTAATTTTATTCATCTAATCTCATCTCTTGTTATTTTTTCCTATCCATAGACTCACAATAAAATTATTTTCAATCTTTCATTATGTTCAAAAATTAATAATAATATGAAAAGTATGATAATTATCAAGATAGTCAATGAATTTTCAATATAACGGATGATGAGTCAAATGAATCAGTAAATGTTGACTCATGAAAATAATGATAAGTGAGTTGATCATATGTTCAAATGTGATAAATAAAGATGAAGATACTTGATGGAAACTCTCAATCTTCATTTTATATATTAGATATATAAATCTAATATAAGACTTTGATAATGATAACAGTACTTCATATCATCATCCTCATCACCAATAAAACATTAGATACGTTTGAAGAAGGAAGAGAAAATGATGATTATCGAAATGATATTGAACTTTATCTTTTCCATGATATTAGTTGGATATTTTCATCATCTAATTCGCATTTTACATGTTTATGGTTAAATGAACTTGCCACACATGCGAGATACTCTCTCTCTCTCTCTCTCTCTTTCATCCTTCACAACCCCACCTTCAACCTCCTGCTTGGAACTCGAAAGGATATAAAATGCTACAGGTTCTCATTCTAATCTTTATTTTCCTTTTTGCTTTTTCCTTCTCTTCTCTTCTTCTATTCCACCTTCTTCATATTTCTTCTCGTCATCTTCATCAACATCTTCTTTTCTCTTATCTTCATCTTCGTAGTCTCTTACTTATCTCCCTCTTTCTTTTTCTTACTTATTCTCTTTCTTTTTTGCTTTCTTTTTCTTCTTTACTCTTCCCTTTTGGGAGACTTAAGTTTCTATTTTTTTTTCTCTACATCTTCTCTTGTTGCTCTTTGATTCTGTCTCTGATTTTTTCTTCCTCTTACATATTGGTCTTACATGTTTCATCTTCTTCATTTTCTTAATCATCATCATCTATATTCCCAATACCAACTCCATCCTCATCCTTAGCATTTTCTGCTTTTTTTCATCTAATTTTATTCATCTAATCTCATCTCTTGTTATTTTTTCCTATCCATAGACTCACAATAAAATTATTTTCAATCTTTCATTATGTTCAAAAATTAATAATAATATGAAAAGTATGATAATTATCAAGATAGTCAATGAATTTTCAATATAACGGATGATGAGTATTCCCATGAAAATGGATCAGTAAATGTTGACTCATGAAAATAATGATAAGTGAGTTGATCATATGTTCAAATGTGATAAATAAAGATGAAGATACTTGATGGAAACTCTCAATCTTCATTTTATATATTAGATATATAAATCTAATATAAGACTTTGATAATGATAACAGTACTTCATATCATCATCCTCATCACCAATAAAAACATTAGATACGTTTGAAGAAGGAAGAGGAAAATGATGATTATCGAAATGATATTGAACTTTATCTTTTCCATGATATTAGTTGGATATTTTTCATCATCTAATTCGCATTTTACATGTTTATGGTTAAATGAACTTGCCACACATGCGAGATACTCTCTCTCTTTTCTTCCTCTTCCTCTTCCGAGTAATCATTTTCGTCTTCATCTTTTACATCTTTATCACCTAAGAAGTCTTGAAGCTCTGAAGTTCATTCAATGAGTTGCAATATTTTTACATGAGATATTTTCACAGTTCTATCATGTGAAGTATATTAGACATTGTATTCTACCAAGAAATTGATGAGAACGCACAAATAGATGAATAAGGAAAATGTTGTAAAGAGTAAATAATTTTTCTTCCTCTTCTCAGCTGAATACAGAACTAGTGATCGATTTTACTGATTGACTTGAAATAACTGATGATGATAGAGAGAGAGAGAGAGAGAGAGAGTAGCATGATCATTATCATGACCATGGTTATCATTATGCTCAATGTAAATTACACTCAATCATTTATCTGGAATCCATTTTTATTTTCACTCAGGAATCAAAACTGAGAGAGAGAGAGATGAAGTTGAAGATGAAAGAGACAAAATCATCAGTTACCAGGGAGATGATCATCTCTGGAGATTTTATTTATCCTGTCAACAAGAGATGGAAAGTCCAATTTTATTCGATAATAATATTTATATTTAGTTGTGTGTCCATCTCTTAAATGAAGTTATCATGGTGATGACGATGACCAGAAGAGGATGAGGATGAGAAGAGGTAGAAATGAGTAAATGGAAGGTGGAAAATGGAAGCAACTTCAATATGAGATAAACTAATACAGTAAATTGAATGATGATGTTGGTTTAATATTATTGTTCTTGATGAAGATAATTTGTTAAAGAAAGATGAGAAATGGATTAAGAATTTACTTCTAGATTAAGTCACGTGGATTTTCAAGATTGTTACAATCAACTAATTCAATAGATTAATTCAATGTGAATCTCTATTGGTTAGATTTAAATTGTTCATTAACAGTTGATTAGGTTAACATATTATTATACTGTTCATTTGCAATGTGTGTCTTGTTTATTTGGTTTCATGATTAACTTTATTAGGAACTTATGATTAAACCGTTAATTTAGAGGATTCAATTTAATTGTGACCATCATCATGATTAAAATCACTGATTTTCAGTGATTGTATTTAATTTGTTCACCCACAGTAAAAATAAAAATAAAGCAACAATCAATTGCTAATTATAATTAAAGGTTTGCAAGGTTTTAAGGTGAAAACTGAAAAGTTTTTATCATCATGGTTATTACTATTAATCATGATCAATGTCTGATTATTAATTGTTTAATTTACCGTTAGAATGACATTATCATTATGGAATCAAGTAATTGATGATTACTAATGATGATATAATTTAATAATCTAATTCTTTGGGTATGTATATATACAGTTAATCTGTTAAACGGGAAAATGTCAACTCGATGTAGCCAAACAATCAATCAAATTGTAATCTGTTGAGTATTATCATTATAATTATCATGAGAAATATCAACAATATTTAACATGATCATGATTAGAATTGAAGTTAATTTGAAATAAATAATATGACAATAACAATTAATTTCTCTCTCTCTCTCTCTCTCTCTCTCTCTCTCTCTCTATTTTCAGCATGATATAATCCTCCTTACAAAGCTAAATCTCAATGGTCATCACCTAATTGTAATACAATCGCCGATCAACCTGTATGAATGGACATGAAATTAGTCAATCAATTGATCAACACTAGATGATTTTGTTTCATCAATTGGTTGTTCAATTACAAAGAGGGTGAGATGAAGGTAGAAGAGGGAGAGGGAGAGAGAGAGAGATGAGGAAGAAAAGTATAAAAAGATGTCGGAATTGACCAAGAAAATGTGACACATTGAAGAGATTATCATTCTGATTGAGACTAAATCTATATGATGATGAGATGGATGAAGAAATTGATTTCAAGGAGGATAAAGGTCACGTGGATTGAGGCAAATGACAGATCTCTTCATCATCCTCATCTTTTTTTTTGCATCTTTTCATTTTCTCTCTTCAGTTAAATCGACACTTTTTTTCATTCTCTGTTGTTGACATGATAAGATTTCGACTTGTATAAACATTTATATGCTTATTGTATAATAATAATAATAAGTGCATAATATAAACATTTTAGACATCCAGTAAGTAGCAAGGTGAAAATTTCAGAATCAATATCATCACCATCAAGTTATTATATAAAAAGTTATGTTAGATATCTGATAATATACATGATGATTTGTATATACACTTGCTTGATGTTACTCAATTTTATGATTAATTATATCACCATGATGATTAATCAAAATTAAATTGCAAAAGTTCATTGTCACTATTCAACAGGTTATCAACAGGTAACCATTGTTTAATTATCGCTTCAGTTTGAGTTGAAATTTTTTTCAGAAAAAAAGGAGAAATTCTTTACTCAAATGTCAGAACTTTTATCGTTTTCACTTTGATCATGGATAGAGAGAGAGAGAGAAAATCGATACATTTTGTAGAACTCGAAACTTTTTTTCCCCATTCGAAAAGAGTTAAAAGTTTTCATCAACTTTACTTGTTTCTCTTCTGGATAAAT